CTGCGATGCCTCGTGCTCGAGCTCGGCGCGGACCCGATCGCGGGCTGCGCCGCGCACGGCGAGAGCGCCATCCACGTCGCGACGCGCAACGGCCAGATCGACGCCCTGCGCTGCCTGGTCACGGAGCTGGGCGTCGACGTGGAGACGGCGGACAAGTGGGGGCGCACGGCCGTGCACTTTGCGGCGTGGGAGGGGCGGGTCGACGTGCTCGTGTCCCTGAAGATGCTCGGCAACCTCAAGCGCGACGGCCACGACATGCTCGCGGCGCGGGACATCGACGGCAAGTTCCCCGTGGCGCGGCGCGGCGTCCGCGAGAGGAGGGAGAGGCGCCTCTGAGACGACGCGTCCGACGGTCGTAGGACTACGCCGACGACCAGAAGCAGCACGAGGCGTCCGAGTGGCTGCGGACCCACGAGGGCGTCGCCAAGGCGCTGCTCGCGCGGCGGCGGGAGGCGCCCGAGGCGCACGCGGCGCTGCTCGCGCGCCGCGCGTCGTCGCCGAGCGACATCAGCGACGGCTCGCCCGAGCAGCACCCGCTGCCGCCGCCGCCGCCGCCCGGGGACGCGCCGTTGAGCCCGAAGGAGCGCGCGCGCGCCGACGACATGGCCGCGCGGCTCGTCGACGAGCTCCAGCTGGTCGACGAGAAGGCGCGCGGCCTCGCCGCGCACCTCGTCGCCGTCCACGGCGCCGCGTCCTTCGACGAGCTGCTCGACCCGGACATCTTCGACGACCTGGACGTGCTCGCGCCCTACGGCCTGCTGCCCGTGCCCCTGAAGAAGCTGAAGAAGCGGCAGCGGGCGTGGGCGTCCGGCGGCTCCGAGCGCGAGGTCGCCGCGCTCAAAAGGGAGCTCACGAGCCAGCGCATCGAGCAGGAGACGCTCCTCGCCGCCGAGGTCGCGACGGCCATGAAGCTGCGCGAGGCCTACGAGTCGCGCGTGGCCCACCTCGAGCACTCCGCGCGGAGCCGGTCGCGGCCGGCGTCGCCGGCGCCCCTCGACGCGCGCGGCGCCGCCGACGTCGGCCGCATCGGCAGCCCGAGAGACGGCCCCGGGCGGCCCATCTGGAAGCCCCTCGGCCTCTAATTATCACACAATGTCGCCGGCCCCGGGCGGCCCAATCTGGAAGCCCCTCGGCCTCTAATTATCACACAATGTCGCCGGGGGGGCCCTACTCGTCGTCGTCGTCCGCGGCGTCGCCCTTGAGCAGCTTCGCGACGACTGGCGTCAGCGCGACGGTCGGCGGGAAGCGGATGGGGCTCGCGGCCTTGTGCACCGCGTAGGCGATGGCGATGGTCGTGCCCTTCTCCGTCGCCGCCGTCGCGTCGATGCCGACCCTGGCCAGCAGCGCGGCCGCGTCGACGCCGCTGTCGATGAGCAGGTAGCAGATCGAGAAGGACACGAGCGCGAGGGAGATGGACGTGGCGAGGTAGGCGGCGCCGTACTTCGCGAGGAGGGCCTTGGCGTCGGCGCCCTTGGACTCGCCGTCGCCGTCGGACTTGAAGATGGAGAAGAGGCCACCCTCGACGCCGCCCTTCTCCACGGCGTCCTCGACCTCGTCGCTGAGCTTCGCCACTCGCCGGAACGTGGCCGCGCGCGGCGGCCGCGGCGCCTGGAACGCGGCCGTGAGCGACGCGCTCACGAGGGCGGCGAACCACAGCGATGACGCAAGTCGACGGCGCCCCATCTCGATATTCTCGACTGCACCGTCTCGCCGACTCTCGGACGAGCAGGCAAACATCGGCTGCGATGCCGCGCCCCGATGGGTCTTTTTGCGGAGCCTTTTTGACCGCTGCGCGCTGGGCCTGCGCCGCTGGACGCGACAACACCTCTTGACCGCTGCGCGCTGAGCCGCATGCGCCGCTGAACGCCGCAACATCGCACGAATGGACCCGCACGCCCTGTCCCGCCGCTGCGTCATCCACGTCGACATCGACAGCTTCTTCCTGGCCGTGCACCGGCGCCTGGACCCGAGCCTCGACGACGCCAAGCCCCTGGTGCTCTGGCAGTAGCGCCCGCGTCCGCCGCGCGTCCTCCCGCCGCGCGCGACGCGCCCGCCGCCGCTCGCAGATACCAGGACGTGATCTGCGCGAACCGCCCGGCCAAAGCCTGCGGCGTGAGGAAGCACATGCGGCCCGGCGAGGCGCGGCCGCTCGTCGAGCCGCGCGGCGGCGCGCTCGTGCACGCGTTTTGCCGCGACTGGCC